GGAAATCCAGGTTAGGGCGGGCCCCGGCGCCAGGTGCGCGCGGCCCTCGCCCTCGCCCCCACTCTCCTCCGCGCCCCCCCGCCCCCCGCAGTCCCCTCCCCTCTCTGTCTGTTGGGTCCCCCGCGCTCACCACTAGGTCGCCCGCGTCCGCCCCCTCATCACTGGGTCCCACCCGCCGGCAGACCCCCCCAGCTCCCCTCCCGCTCTCCGCCCCGCACTCGGCTGGGGGACCCGCCCCCGCGGGTCAGGCGGAACCCGGGGCCGGAGCAGCCCGGTGTCCTGGCCCTGGGCCCGAGGGTTAACGCCTAACCCCGCTCGGGGGGCGTTCCCCAGCCCCGAACCCTTAGCCCCGCCCGCCCAAATGAGGGTGGCGCTTGGGGGAGGGGAAGGGAGTCCCAGAGGCCCACCTCCCCCCGCCCCGACCCTCCCTCCCGCGTCTCCAGCTCCCGGACACCTGGCGTTCCAGGCTGGGTTCGTGGGGATGGGCTCGTGGGCGTTGACGGAGGCGTCGGCCCGGGGGCGCGGTGGGTCTGGCGGCCGTGGAGGCGCTCCCGGTTCCGGGGGTCAGGGCTCCCGGGCTGCTTGCGGGCGTCGGGTGACCCGGGAGCTGGGACAGGGAAAGGGATTACGCTGGGGCTGGGGCAGCGTGGGAGACGTCTCCTACCTGCCCGCATCCTACCGTCCAGGTGTGGGGAAGGTCTTGAGCAGAGGCTCCGGGCTGAGCAGGGCCGTGCGGGGAAGTCCCGGGGGCAGGGGTTGGGAGGGGGCTGTGCTGGGGAGCCTGGGCTCTGTGGCCTGGACCGCTGGGGCTGCGGCGCTGCCCACCTGCCGTGCACCCGTGCCCGTTGCCGCCCCGCCGGGGCACTCAACAGTCCGCCCTCATGGTCCTCGGTCCCCACGAAACCCTCGTGCTGGTCCCTGACTGGGGGTGGGAGCAAGAAGGGGGACACACACCTGGAGTATGGAAGGGAGCCTCAAGCATGTACCGTGCAGGTGGAAACCCACCCGCGGGGTGGGGGGCGGCTAGGGGACTGCCTGGAGTGTGTCGAGCAGCAGCCCCCTCCCCACTCTGGCTCGCACACCGGACCCCTGGTGGGAACACAGAGGCAGGGAACCTGGGCTTGAGGTGGTGTGGGGAGGAGCAGGCCAGGGGAGGGACCTGCCGCTGGGTGATCAAGAAGTTTGGACTTGGTCCCAAGGACAACGTGGCGCCGCAGGAGAGTTTCATGCCAGCCGAGACGCGCCCTGATGAGGGTATTAGCTCTGGGTGCCCAAGAGAGTGGGTGGTGGGGGGTGTGGGAACGGTCAGGTATCCAGCCAGAGGCCCTGCTCTAGAAGTGGTGGGGACTGAGGAGCAGGAAGAGGTCGGGGGGAGTATTCCCTGGTGGCCCCCCAGACCTGCCCTTCTCCCGCTGCAGCCCTGCCCTGGGCTCCGCACTGCATCTGTGGCCCCATGCCCCACCCCCACTGGCTTCCGGGTGAGTCTGGCCTCCAG